GGAAATCAGATAGAGGAATTGGCTAAAAACGCCTTTTGACCCAAATCGATATCCAAATTTCATTCAAAAAGGTATCGCTTATAAACGGCTAAGCACCGATCTAACTATATTAGTGTCCTTGTCTTGTAAAAAGACTTGAATGTTCTGGCACCAATTTGCCACCATAAAGTAAGCCTCTCACCTCACCAACATAAGGAAAATATATTTTAGAAGTTCCTGAAAAATAACTGGATCCGTGCCGTTCGTCAGTCATTAGTCCTCACTGCCTCCACAAGCTTAGCTGTCAGTTGATGCTAAAACGATCGCTGTACACTTTAAAGTTGTGTCAGACCTATCAACATGAGTCCAAGTTTGACGGAAGCCGAGCTGGAAGAAGCGCACACTACGGCCGATAACAGGCGCGTCCCAGTGAAACCTGCCCCAGCGAAGCCTCCTAGCAATGGTACAATGACGTCGGCATCTACGTAATTTGGCTACGGTGAGCACGAATGCGCAGAGAATGCCGTTAACCTGCAGCAGAATGAATGAGCCAACGACAGCTAAGAAGCTTCGCAGTTGCCTGGTGGCACCGTTCAAAGGGATCCAGGTGATGTAGCGACGGTTGCTATTAAAAAAGGGCTCGGTAACCGTAGACTGCTCATGGATTCGCATCATTCAGGAGGTACGACCTTCGAGATGCTTCTGGGGCATAGGCCACATGGGTTTCAACTGTAAGGCAACTCGCTCGGTTTCTATGTATGGTGCGATGAGCGAGGAAAAAGATTGACTGTAAAGATGCCCGATCTGTAGCAAGGATGTGGATAAAAACCACCCTACAGATGGGTTTACACGTCCTATCTGCAAAGCCAGCGTCACAAAACGAGCTATGAGACATCGTAATCAACTTAACATAATTAAGCTCAATCTTAAAGATTGTCTTTTGGCACAGACAGCGCTTAAAGGCAATGTGCACATGTGGTCCTAAGGGAACTGTACTTCACTGGGGTGGGAAACTCAGGGGTGGTTCTTCACTCAGCAGCAGACAAATTCTGCTGCAACCTCTTTATAGAGGATTGGAAAGCTTATTAGTGAGCGCAAGCGTAATTAATTTAATTACTCAAAAATTAAAGGCGAACACGTCTATAGTTGCTATGCTCTACCAAGTGAGAGTCCGGAACTGTCTACTGCTGGTTAAGCTCGTGTACCATACGAGAATATCCAATCCCAGAGGACGGGCCAGCATCTTTAAGGATTTTCTCCTAACAAAGGTGACATCGATGAATGATTTTTAAACGTCGTTTAGCAGCATCAGGTGTAGTTTGTTAATCTCGTTTTGAGTCTTAAGTCTTATGGAGCATGCGAGAGTCAGCTAGTGGATTTGCGAATGAGAAACTTCAATATTTTCCGGAATATCGTTAGAAATTGGGAGAAAAAATAATAAAATGAAAAAAAAAATTTACATTTTTAAAAAATGTGGGCGTGACAGTTTATTGCGTGGCAAACATTGTTTTTTGCCAATCGATAGAAATTTACAAGACTAATGAAATGAAAAAATATCTAATCATTTTTCAAAAGTGTGGGCGTGATTGTTTCGTGCGGCTTATGGGCGCTGACAACATGAGCGTGACAACATACGAACTCATAGAGGAATAATTCGCAGACCAATTTACCAACTAACTTGATAACCTGTTTCTTGAGAGCGTGCTTGGCTTGACCCTTTTTTGAGTCTAGGGAAATGTTATTGGTCAATATGCCATTTATAACAAATGTCTATAACATGAATACATGGCAAAATTTGTGGAGAAATCATTTAAAATAAATTTGGGATTACGGTCGACAAGTTCAATTGCATTTGATGTTCTATTTAAAAACTTAAACTTACGTATTGTACATACGTTTACTAACATGTGGAAAGCTAAATCTAGTAGCAAAGATGATGTCACGGTCATCAATAATCAGCGTACTCATTATGTGACTCCCCAGGTAATTGTTATTTCTCAAAATTATAATGTAGCTTGTTTATATCCGAATCAGTCTCCAACAATGGTTTTGGTATCGGTCCATCAGGTCCATCCATGTTTGACCCGTGTTAGATATATTGTTAAATTTTATATGAAAGTATTCATCAACAAATTAAATCCGTTACTTTTTTGAAAGGACCTAAACTAAGTAAGCCGCTGCATGTTGTAGCGAGAACGCATTAAATCAGTCCGATACAGTATGATAAGTGGATTTCGAAGATCAAGAATTCATAGACATGGCAGTATCAATCATTTCTCGTCACCTTACATCAAAGTAACTTCGGGGAACGGGAAAATCATAACAATTTTATTTGGCACTGTCTAAAGACAAATTACATTAAAAATCAATTAGTTCCGAAACCAAAGCCGAATTACCAATTTTTTTATTTAACACATAAATAATTTATAGCACCTAACCACCTAATTTAGCAGATACACCCATACAATTTATTTTACTAGCTACATTAAATTTGGTAGGCAATTACACGATGGAGAACATAGAAACACTCTTTGTCGACCCAGTTACAAAGCAAGCATGCACGCTAGAAAAATTAACATTGTTAGATTTCTCGGCATACGAAAAGGATTACCCATACCCAGCATCGTTAAAGCAGGGGGTTAAGGAATAGAAAAACTAAATGCCTTTAGACGATATTATTTGGCCATTATCAGACTCTCATCAGTCTGGGTGGTCCGGAAAGAGCCCGGCCAGTCCGAAGAAAAATGGTACCGAAACTTAAGGAAAATTAACTCTGAATATTTAATTCCCGGCGAAATCAGCGAAATTATTTCACAACAAATATTTCTTGGTATTAGATTTGCTTCATATTTTAACCAAACCAATTTTTGGTTTCTACTTTCTAAAGAGATCTACACGACATATATTATAAAGGGATCACAGAAAAAAATTGCTAAACTCAGAGCTATAACAACATGAAATATTCACCCTCTAACATAACAATACCTCACAGATAAGCCAAGGAAAACAAAATTCAAATGTTAAAGAGTTTTCTTTTTGACAATCTTTAGAGGTATTTCAAGGTATGTACAATCCTGTCAAACTTCTATAGACTATGGCATTTAAGGACTTCATTTTTAATATTATTAACAAAAAAAGGCCTGGTGACATTATTTTCAGAAGCATAATTTTGAGGTCACCAATTTCCACTTCTAAATCGAAATCGAAATTCATTCTCTCATTACGAAAAAAAACTCATGGAAACTTTCCGTCAGCAGAGTTCAAGCCGTCAAGACAAAAATGTATTTTTTAAAATATTCTTGGCTTAACATATTTAATTTATAATCCTTTATTTATTTATTCCGCTAAATATCGCATGAAGTTTGCTTAATTGGCCGAAATTGTCATAATACGGAAATCAGTCATGGGTTGTCATGATACGAAAATGCAATTCAGGACGACATGTTTCTTAGATCTGTGGGAGATAACATATGTATGTATATTAAATTTGTCAATTGTTTGAATACTAAAGGGTGAATGAGCTGATCTACCTATGTATAGCGTTTCGCAACACTATTCCGTCGGAAACTAGCACTGCTTCAACTTTAAATTTCTTCACAATTAACCCCATTCGTTAGAAATCATGATTAAACATTAAAACACAAACGGGAGAAATCATAAATAAAAATAATATAAGAACATAATTTCGCTGACTTTGTTCACCAACATTTTTAGAAATTACATATTTTACATTAGAATTTAATTCATTCGAAACCACTTTAAATCATTCATAAATTCATAATCCCAATAAACAAGCTACAAAGAAGCACTTGTGAAATTAATCGAAACATTTCATTTACTCATTTCACCCACTTTATAATATATTTAATTTGAACTAAGACAGATCTAACTGATCTACGCAGCACCCAAAATCGAAGGAGACAAAATAAAAGCTATAGAAGTCTGTTGGCAGGTTCGACAGACCATCAGGACTACATAATCTTCGTATGTAAGAGAAACAAACAATAACAAAAAAAATATAGACAAGAAAACAAAAAAAAAATATAAAAAACAAATAAGAATAAATACAAAACAAGAATACAAGAAACAGCTTTTCGCAACAAAATAACCTTGTGAACACCAATATGATAAGACAATTGCCAAGTCAGAAAAATGGTCAGATTTAATCTATGATTCTATTGAATGCTTTATTGAAACTTCGAGAAACAGTAGGTAAGGAACCGAATTTCGAGGATGAGTAATTCAAGAGTAATTTATCGAAACCTTCTTCAATCTTCAAGTCATAAGAACCAAGCGAGAACCTCAGTTATTTCAACTCATATTCAACATGCATTGAGAAATTTATTTTAAACGGAAAACAAATATATTCGAATTTTGGAATAACATTTTGTAGACAGTTAAACCGAAAATTTTTTTTAATTTTTCCACAAAGTCATGTCTTAGTAAAAAATCAATCGATGTAAATTTTCACCACCACTTTCTGGTGAATATTACAAAAACGAATCTAACAATCTTTTATTCATATTAGCTATTGTTTAAAGTTGTGTATTCCTTTTAATACCATAACTATTTTTATACAACCGTACAAATAGACTTTTAACAGGAAATTAAATTATTCCCATATTTATAATAACTAACCCTTTTCCCCAATAAATTTTTTTTTTAAAGCGTATTCCATCGTATCCATCTAAAGAATTCAAATTACTTTGATATAAGGAACTTCAGGCTTACATGTTAATAAACATGCAAGATAAGCGGGAAACAACTAAGTTTTATAATGCTATAGCCCTTAAACGCCTGAAGTTCGAGACTTGTGTAATAAGACGTAGTAAAGGTATTTTCAAATGCTATCGTTGCTTTCTAAACATAAAATGTACTCATTCCGCATGCATTATGTGCTGGTGACTATTTAAACAGTTTATTATAATATATTAATATTAAATAAATCGTAAGTATCCGTGATATTGCTATATTTATCAATTTATAACGATAGAAAAATATTTTTCTAAAAAATATATCGATATATATTTTATTTTTTCCATTTATCTACAGCGATTGCATATACGCAATTGAGTTCCGTCGACTTGATCGTCGACCTTTAACCAGAATAAACATTTATTTTGCCGTTGCCAAAAATGTACATGACAACTGGCAAGACGTTTGCGATGGTGAAAGGACCTTTACGTGATTGTTTTTTTCATAGTAAAAGATGGCCAGGTAACGTACGATTTTTTGTCGTCGTCAAAAATAGGCAGGTAGACAATATTAATAACAATATATGTATATCTGCCTGTAGTTATATACGAACTAGTATACCGTATATACATATGTTCACACGTTTTACTTAATGCGCAATTGTTATATGTTTGTACGTATGTGCATATGTATGTGCATAGTATGTACGTATTCTCGTATTAATATTTGTATATTTGTGTCTACTTGCGTACATAGCTATTCGGCAATTGCACTTGAGTGCCGCAATGGAAAATTATGTGAATGAAGCCTTAATACCTCTTCCAATCAATGTGGACTCTGCGGAAACAACTCGATTCTCCCCCCAGCGCTCGCGTGATATTTCGTCTACAGTGATTAATGCACAAGCACCAATCTCAAGCATTGATATCACTATTGACAACAGTTTTCACGCAGTTTTAAGCGACTCAAGTGTTTGTCAAGATCCCCATCTACAGTCCTATGATTGCTTTGGGTTGATCAGTCTTAATTCCGCAATGCAAAGCAATGTACCAACACCGTTTGGGGGGCTCAACAAGTTTTCGCATCTGAACATGCCTGGCGGACAGTGGTCCCAGGAGTTTAAGTTTACAGCGCAAAACATGCAGTGGTCTCACTACAGCAGTCTTCGCGACAGATTGCGAGCGGATTGGGCGACTTACGATCAGAACGCTACTCTTAAAACTAATGGCCAAGGTGAGCAGCTTCGCTAAAAAAGTAAAGAGTAAAAAAATGTATAAGTATCAATGAATATTATTATAAATGGATATATCATATTCATGTCTACAAAAATATCTTACATTGTAAGAGAGAGAGATGCTTTAACATGTCTGCATATATCAGGAACTCATTTTAAGGATTTGCTTACAGTTCCCAGGAATCCTATATCTTATACCTCAAAATTTGCAATATTGCAATGAATTGGCAATAGAATTCATAAAATTAAATGAAAATAAAAACATTCATTAAAAGTGTGGGAGCGTTAGATTTTTTAGAAATACCAAATGACAAGACAAAATGTAAAAAAACAATCAAAATATTTTTCAATGTGACAACGTTTTGAAACTGATTTGCACAGTAGCAGGTCACTAGAATTCGTATGCACTTTTCAGCGTTTATGTATATTTATGAATATATTGACGTTCATACGGTCGAACATGGCTATGGATTGAGAGTAGTCAAAAACACTTTCCTTTCATCTGTTACATACTTTTCTTTCAATTAGAATACCCTTTTAATCTACGAATAACGGGTATAAAACTCTGAAATAAAATAGGTGTAATTTTTTTTTAAATGGTGTGTATAGTTTTCTGACATGCATTCTTAACACTTACATTTATCTAAACATATATTTTAAACAAATTTTACAGAGTTTTTTACGAAGGGTCGAAGAAAATATAGCACGCAATCGCCTATGCAAAACCCTACAACAATAAAGGCAGCAATATCAAAGTCGCTTTCCACAAAAACATCCACAGGTTCCAAACTAGGTAAAAGTGAGCAGCTAAAGAGGGCGTTTAAGGAATATGGAGCGCCTATTGTGGCCTTTCATGTAGGAATTTCTCTGATTTCTCTTGGCGGTTTCTATATGCTTGTATCAAGGTAAGGTGATATTACAATAAGTTGACAACTATAAATGTCCCCAGTGTTTGACTACAAATTCCTTTGTAGACTAGCGTCCACATTACAATACTGGCTTTTGAAGTTCTATAGATCTTAAAAAGTTAATTTTAGCTTTAGTTTCTTCCTACCCGTTACACGTAGAGCAAATGAATATATTAAATTTAATCGAACTATCTAACGGACTAAAGGAAGCTTTACTACACGAGTCGATCTAGTTATCCTCGTCTGCACATCCGTCTCTTATTTTGTCTGTCAGTCAGTTAGTATGTCCGCCGAAATCGCTGTAATATATGAACTAAAAAGCTCGGACTAGTTACTTTATTTTTCCAACTCCTACATACAGAATTTTTTTTTTAATTGACCACATTTACATAATTATTATTTGTGTATTATAAAATTGGGTGGTAAGTATATATATAAGCACTATGTATCACTTTTATTGTTTTAAAGAAATTTTAAGTTATGAGCATTTGAGAAACCACCGAACTTTCCCTTAGACTCCCGTTCTCTGAGTAACGTTTTCACCCAGCTTCGCAATACGCTTATTTACTTTATAATTCATTGATTTTCAAAATATTAGACTTTTTTTTTTTTTTTGCAAAGAAAAAAATCCAATTAATCTTATTTACGTGCGCCAGACGAATTTTAACCGCATTATAATGCATTAATTAGAAGATCATAATATTTCAATTAAAAAATTGTAAAATAATTTTCGGAGTTTTTCGTCGTCCAATCTTTTCCGGGGCGTAGGCATCACTGGAGTCTGCAGGCTTAGGCTCGACTTTCTGGGGCGTATAGTTTTCGAGCTTCGTTTAATGATGATGACCCAGTGTATATGTACGTACTTTGTATGGTCACGTTCTGTCTACAACTGTTCTGCTACAACTTATAAACAAATACCCTTTAGGGGTGTAAGCTCGGAGAATAATTATAAAATAAACAAGAAAGAATTCTATAGTCGAGTTCTTCGACGATCAGCTACCCGTTACTCTGCTAGTGGAAGTGCAAACGAGAAAATTCAACATTTTCTAGAATATTGGTGGAAATTGGGGGAAAAAATAATAAAATTAAAAAATTGAGTGCCGTGAGGGAAGGAGGGAAAGGGGAGGAGGGCGTGGCAACATTTGGAAACTTGCGCTGCGTTGCTGTCTCTGGAAGCCGCATGCTTAATCTTAACATTCTAGCTTTTGTAGTTCCTGAGATCGAGACATTCATACAGACGGACATGGCAGGATCGACTCGGCTAAGGATCCTGATCCAGAATTTATGTATTTTATATGGTCGGAAACGTTCCCTGTTTTATTCTTTTCAACGAATCTAGTAAATCCTTTATTCTACGAGTAACGGGTGTAAAATAAATAATAAAAATATAAAATATGTATATAATCAAAAAAAAAAAAATGGTGTTGCCCTATATTGTGCCTTCCTGCTGAATATAATTACTTGGAACCCTTATTTGTAATACGTTGTTCTCGCTGTACTTCACAGTGGCATAAACTTGGTCCCAGCTCTGGAATTTATTGGAATCGCTTCACCCGCCATTATGGAAAAAGCGGCCACAGGGAGCACCTTTGTTGTGGCATACGCCGTACACAAAGTGTTTGCCCCGGCTAGAATAAGTATCACGTTAGGTTCTGTACCATTTATTGTACGCTATCTTAAATCTAAAAAATCACAAATGCGATAACCAAAAAATAGCGCTAAGAATAATAAAATCATATCAATAACGGATTTTGTTTTTTATAATATGCTTATGAAGTAAAAAGGTTATAAAAAATGTTTCTTAGAGCTTTAGTAAAGAGCTTTTTTTCTAGTATTTCGTAGCCTTTTTCGGTTTGTTTGTTTAGGCTGAGCATTCAAGCCGCAAAAAATCTGTATATGGTAGACTTTTTTTAGTAAAGATTTTTATACCCGTTACTCATAGAGTAAAAGGGTATACTAGATTGGGTGAAACAGACTGAATAAACTGTGAACTTCATCAGCTTCTTTGATCGCCTGGGGCGATTTCAGCTGAGGCTAAGATAAGTGGCTATATCACTAGAGCACTTGCGAAAAAAGGTAAAAGAGTGGGAGGCCTTGGGGCAAAAAAGTCAGCCCAAATTCATTTAATAGCGCCTTCGAATTGCGTATTCGTATAAGATCGTAGGATCTTAGAGCTCTTCGTAGGTCTGGGTGCAGTTTTCCTTAATGATCTCTAGCGTTTCCTGTTCCTGTATTTTATGAGGACTTAGGGTCTGAATTTCGACCTTGAATGGTTCCCTAAACCCTCGCTTTCTTTGCATCATCTTGTCTGCAAGCTTAGCAAAGTATCCCCTGGGCAAAGAAGTATGCCTGGAGATAGTATAACTCGGACCAAGTCCTCCAGTTTCTATTGCTGGAAATGAACCATTTCAGAGCCTTCCCCTGCATCTATTCCGGCATTACTCGGGGAATCATGTTTAGGTCCAAACCGTACGTGTTTGCGGACGTGCTATAGAAATTCGAGGGGTTTTCTCCTATCTCTAAGCGGAAAGATCATTCCTTGGGTCGTTTTCCGTTTTAGCCGCGAAACCTCTGTGCAATATATGCGAAATCCTTATTCTTAAGGCGGTAGAATCTACATCTACCAATAGTGATTTTTTTTGTTTTTGTATACTACAGCTTTGGGCGCCAGAACTGATTTTATTGGTCTGCTAGCTTCAAAATACATGAGGCTAGCTGTGGATATCGTCCCGCCAAATTAATATTAAACGTGATCACCCGCCTAACAGTAACAACACTTAGCAGTTCTTGTTTTCTTAATCTTTATTTGTTTTAAACCCTTTGGTTTGATTCCCTGATGTTCTCCTTGACTGTCCCGCTTCCAGCGCTCGGCCTGCTTATATAGGATCCTTTAACCGTCATTCTCCGATGGCTCCAGTCTCCCGGTCCAAAGTCCACGGCTTTACCGTTTGCCGGGTCCAAGTCCAGCTTGGTACCGTTGTTTCCTTTAACCTGACGCTCCGACATTTACTGTTTTACTGTTGTCCTGATCTAGTTTGTGCCATCTCACTCTCGCTATTCATATTCCATATGACATCAGCATTTTATTTAAATCGAATGTTCTATAAATAGTAAAATTAATTATCACATTTGAAGATGAAAGTTATGCCTATGTACACTAATCGCACTGAGTACGTTATCAACTCCGATAACTGCTAAGCCAACTTCAACTTCGAAGTTCATTATCCAACTTAGTGATAATCCAAAGGCTCTAGTTCTTTCATTATTGGAATAAATAAAAACGTTTAATAATACATAAAAACTCAACTGTGTTCTTTTTTTATGAAGCACTCGGTCTGAATTAATGGCGCAGTCGGTAGGATAAAAAGAAAAAATTGTGTGACTCGTTTACAAATATTAATCTAGTGGCAAAAGATCTTTGTACGACCAAGCATATCTTTTAAAGATTAAACATAAAGTGAACATAAATCGTAATATATTACAATCGACTCTATTTATCCTCAAAAGAACGACGTATAATCGGTAGTTGACACACAAAAGTCAACCTACTGCATACGATTAACAAAAGTGTAAAAACAAAAAACTAAAAAAAAAACTAAATCAAATATGGCAACCGAACAAGTCCAATTATTATCAGAATCACACTTAATCAAGCCTTAAGTCAAATTAGGCAAATACCTTCATTCAGTGCAACACCCAAGAGCTCAGTGCCTTTATCCGAAGGATCGAGTTTATACTTCAACTTTACCCAACAACCGACCCCAGACAAAAACATGTGTTCTTTAGCGCAATTGAGATGCAAACCGCAGGGCGACAACCTGGCCAACTCTAATGAACTCGCTCATCAAGCAACGCAAGCACCATGTGAAGAACTACTCTGTCGCCTCTACAATACACCCTTCAACGGAAGTTGAAGTTCGTCGAAGAATTAGAAACTAAATCATTCACAATATCAAATAAGCTTATGCTAGAAAACAACATTAACAACACCTTATTATACACAAATGCATTAAACGATACAGTAAAATATGTAATCATGAGAAAACTGCCCGATACGTTATTTATGACTCCTGCTAGACCTGACATAAAGACAGTATCTAAACTCAAACAAATAGCTCAACAAGAAGGTTATATTAAGTAACTTTCAATGACTGCACGAAACCAAAAAATATCTTCAATTCTAACACAAATCCACCCCAAACCTGTAAGAATAAAGAAAATAAAATCCAAAAAATAATTCAAAGCCTACTGTATCAAATCAGCAAGTAATGCATGAATTTAAGCAAAAGATAAATCAAGGTAGCACCCTTTTAAATTACCAACAGTAGTAATGCACTAAACCATCCCGTCAAATGGCAGAGAGAAAGTGAACCAAAACGTTTCGTTGCATTCAAGCAAACCTTGTCCCACTAAACAAACATTCTTTATTCACAATTTTTCAGAAAAATATGACTTACTATTGGGCAGAAATTTCATTTCGAATACGATTTACGATTACGATTTCATACAAACAAATGAGTCCAAGGCTACCAATGAGTACCCCAAGTCATCCAACCTAGAGGAAACCGTTTTACATACCCCAAAAAAAGAGAAAACCCTCCGTAAAATTAAGCGGTAACCCCACTTAAAACCAGATGAGTCAAAGGTTACCAATGAGTACCCCAAGTCATAACCTAGTGGTAACCAAGTCGTAACCTAGAGGAAACCCCTCTACATACCCCAAAAAAGAAGAAAACCTTCCGTAAAATTAAGCGTAAAACCCCCTTAAAACCAGATGAGTCAAAGGCTACTAATGAGTGCTCCAAACCATATAATCCAAATGAATCCAAGACTACCTATGAGTGTCCCAAGTCTTATAAATCTGAGGAAAACCCTCTTATTACCCCTTACACAGAAGAAGCCCTTCTAGTAACATCCTCTAACTACGCCTTAAACGACGAGTTAAGAGAATCTAACGTATTCAGATTAGAACATCTAAAAATAGATGAAAGGGAAAAACTTTCGAACGTTTTGCTCGAATACAGTGATATTCAGTACCAGGAAGGTGAAAATAACCATATAATTACCCCCAAGCGTTTGATCAAGAAGTTAACAAACAAATCAATGAAATGATAGAACAAAAAATAATTAGGAAATCTAAGTCACCCTGTTCTCCAATTTGGATTGTCCCAAAAAAAAGCGATGCAATATTAGACAAGCTTGGACGCTGTCAATACTTCACAACTATTGATCTAGCTAAAGGTTTCCACCAAATTCAAATGGACCAGCAGTCAATATCCAAAACAGCATTTTCAACAAAACATGGACACTACGAATATACTCGTATGCCCTTTGGTCTGAAAAATGCACCAGGAACCTTTCAAAGTTGCATGAACAACCTTATAGAAGACTTATTCTATAGGGATTGTTTAGTCTACTTAGATGATATGATCATTT